GATTACATACAGACAGGGGACATTACCGTAAAATTTCAGCTTCCTGGCTTTTGTAGTTACCGGGGTAATATTCCCCTGCCAAAGTTTTGACAGAGCCGTAGGCGATACCCGAGGGCACGGGAACGCTGAATTTGAATTTGCGAGGTCGTATGTGGGCAGGGTTATTACCCTAAAATTTCAGCTTCCTTGATTCCGTGGATCCCTAGATAATAATCTCCCCGCCAAAACTTTCACTGGACCGTACCTGTTATCCGCAGGCAGGAGAAGGCTAAATTTAAACCTTCTGGGTCGCGCGTAGGCAGAGGAAATGCCCACAAAATTCCAGCCTTCTAGCTTCCGTAGTACGCGGCATAATTTTTCCGGCAAAAATTTACGGCGCCGTACTTGTTACCCGTAGGCAAGGGAAAGCTGAATTTAAATTTGCGAGGTCACACATGGACGGGGAACATACTCCTAAATTTTTAGCTTCCTAGCTTTTGTGGTTCCCGAGTTGAAAGTTGCGAACATGCTGCGGGCACATACACACAGACAACGCCGTGACAATATACATTTTGTACTGCTGTTACACGGCAAAAAAACGCACAGAAAGTCTTCTAAAAGTTTTTTGTCTGCAACGCTTGAAAAAACTTTATTTTCCAAAAATCGTTTCATGATCTTAATCAAAACGACTTTTGATTTCTTTCATAAGTACAGAAATGCACTGCTCATTCAGCAGGACATGATCAGTTAAGCTATCAGCTTGCTTTTAAGCAACCTTTGAAAGAGACAGCCTTATCAGTGATCGGATGCTATTAGCACAGACTACAGTTCGAGCCATTTCCAAATACTTCATCTCTAAAACAAAGCGAATACGGAGAAGGTTTTGATCTTGACAGTTAATTACCTTATCGTTGCAATGTACAAAGAATTCGAAATGTCCAGAGTGAGCGATCGGATCGTTCTGCTGGGTTATTTGGTAACCGGCTGGCATGTCTGCATAGAAATAATGTTTGCGCACAAATTTACAACGTTTCGGAATAGTGCAATTCAGAAGCAAACCCGTCGCAATACCTTTCTGCAACAGTCTCGAGTTATACTGAACTTTTTAATTAATCGACAAAATTTAGCATCTTGTGATTTCTCAGAATTTTTAAGAATTAGCAAAACGGCTAAATTTGCTATATAAAGTACAAAAGGCAAGATACAAAGAGAAATCTGCTATTTTTTGTCGCCTCAAATTTTAGCCTCTTCCTGTTTCCGCATCGCTCTGCCTAGCGCCCTTCCTCTTTTCATAGGAAGAGTACCAGTAGGTCAAAGAATTCTTTGCAATATTTTAAAAAATCTTAAACCTCTAAATGACACAAACTTTTTGGAAAGCAAAACGTTGCGTTGCTTAAAACAGCAACAGTACAAAGTACTACAGTATTACCAGGTACAATTTTTCTGTTACAGTAAGAAAAGCGCGAGAAGTAAAAAAGAAATTTCACAAAAAAATCTCAAAAACTGGAAAACCGATGAGGCACGAACAAACCGTAATTTATCATCAGATTATATCGAAAATTCAAATAACTTCTAATCTATATTTGACCACTTGGCTAATTTCCCTCTCACTAGATTTTAATTCTTCATTTTGTCGTATTAATTTCTCATTGTTATTTTCCCATAAGTTGCTGGTTGCATGAATGAAGACCCACACTATGGATTTTCAGCTGGGTAAACTCGACAATTTTGCCAGGTAATCTTTTTTCTGTTTCCACCTATCACTAATTTTTATTTTCCCAACACTCCATTATGGAGAAAATTTTTCTCAGTTAAAAAAAAAA